GACAACCTAGCCCGTCCAGAACGTCGGTCGTCCTGTGCAAAGCTTTCCCTGGCTCCTTTGAGCGGAGAGAGCAGGAAGCTGATCTGCCTCTGCTCAAAGTGCTTAATCCCTCCTTGATTTCGTACATGAAGAGGATAGCGTTCCTTACTGCAGCCTGTCTCCTCCTAAACAAATGACCTCATTTAAGAGGTCATGAGGACTTCCTGCTGGATGCGAGAGTCTGTTTATTTCACACACCACCCACCGAAGCAAAGCCAGAGGTCCGAGGGTCTGGTTCCCTTTAACCAGGTTGTTCGCTCTGAACAAAAAAAACAGGGATTTGACTTTTTTTCTCTCCCATTTTTTGCTATGTGCTTTCTGGCCCCATGGAAACGCTGGGGTTTAGATCCTGCCATTAACGGCCCAGCCTGGTAAAAGTTTGGCAAACTTGAGGGGGTGGGTTCCTTTATTGAGCTGATCCATCTGGATCTTCTTCTTTTCCGGCTGCCTTTGACTGATCTTAGCATCGTAAGCTTTTCCGGGGAGTCTTGCCTTCTTATAATATGTCAAAGGCACAACAGCCTCCGTTTAGCTATTTTAGATTCTAGTGAGCCTTTAAATTTGATTTGATCATGGACCAAGTTATTTGTCTTTGTGGTGGTTTCTGGTGTTAATCGGATTTCAAAGGAATCACGTTTAGCTCTGTCGGTTTTCTTCATTGTCCATCTTTCATATCTATGTACTGTATACCTAGGAACCAGGACTGCTAGAATGCAGATTATTTTGACCTTGGTCTCTGGTGATCCTCAAGGCTCTTTTCCTAGTTCCTACCTGGCTGCCTTTTCAAGTCTGAGCCTTGTTTTGATCCTTTAGCTGCAGAAATGGGTCAGCTGTTTTGATAGGCAATTGGCCAAAGGGATGGAAAATATTTATTTAGTTATCCCAGGGCAGCCTTTCAAACCGAGAGCTGCCCTCCCTGAACAGAGATAAATGGCCACCCTAATTAACCAGAGGGGTGGGGGTGGGGGGAAAGTTGGTTAATTTGGACTCAGTGGCCCTTCCAGCTTCATGATTCCACTTCCAAGTCTGACTTTGGTCACCATCCAGAGCCCTTTCGTTGTTATGGAATCTTCCTTGGCCCTAAATGGTTGAGTTGTCATTTCTGGTCTTTTTAAAAAACACAACAAGGACGTGCTTGACATGGGACATCAAGAGATCAGTTTGTCTTCAGGCAGAAATACTCTCCAGAAGACGAGAAGGAACAGAAGAGGAGGGGGGCACCACAAAGACCGTTTTTGCAGGGTAGCGTGGGAACAGCGCCGGGTGATGCGGTGATTCCCCTCCGCCTTTAAGCAGGAAATACACAAAGGCTTAGGCGCTTTCCCCTGTTTTGTCCAGTGGGGCTGATTTTGTTTTCTGGAAAGTCGCTTGACTAATTATGTACACATTTCCTTCTTCCAACCCTCCCCCCCCCAACCTCCTGCCTTGTTTGCTTTTGGTCCTGGCCATTTCCCCACGGGATTCTCACATGATAAAATACCATGAAATCATCTCTTGCAATGCTATTTTTTTTTATTTTTTTGCTATGATTTATGAAAGAGCCCAACTGTTATTCTGGAAAAAGGCTTCAATACAGTTGTTTTTAAAAAATGGCAACCCTTAACACTGGTAGGGCACCTTTGGGCGTAGGAAGCTCTTCCGATGCATGAACCGCGACACAGAGCGCATCGATCTGTCCGCAATCATGAAAACAAATCAGCATTCTCGTTTTCATTCAGAAGATGGGAAAAATTAATTTGGGGAGTGGGACCTCTTCGTATCCCTGACCCAACGTGGCCACTTTCTCCCAGAATCCAGAGGCACAAAGAACTGTGCAAACTTTAAAGCAAATTATCCTTCCGGCTGACGAGATATTAAAAGCAAGAGATGTACAGTACTCACTCCCTAAAGGAAAGCACAGGCTTGAGTTTGCATGAAGCCGAGCTGGTGACAGCAGAGCCTTCTGAAGATCTCTCATTCATAGAGTCACCAAAAGTCAACTCTGATTTGATGGCACTTAACAGCAACAGCATTAAAAGTCAACAAATTCTGCCCCCTTTACATCTAGTTACTCCTCTCTGTGCGTTGCTGTCTTTCCTTCTACCACCCTCACTCCCTTATGCCTGTCTCTTTCCCCTCTCCTCTCAAAAATCTGGAAAGTATCTTGAGATGGAGGAGGGGAAGAGAGAGAGAAACCGTGAGCAATAAACCGATAAGAGGAATGATTTATTTATGGAAACTTGCAGGGGGGGGGGTGTTTAGCAACAGTGTTCATCTTTTGCAGCAAAACCAACCAAGAATCTTATGGCACCCTTGAGGACTGATGAGTTTTACTTGGCAAACGCTTTTGTGGAGGACAGCTGGAGGCATCTAATTAAATGGGCTGCAGTTCATAAAAGCTTCTTCCAAATTTTAAAATGTTGGCTTTTAAGGTGTCACTGGCCTCTTTGTTGTTTTTTCATGGAAACTCACTTTCCATCCGTTCATAACACAGATTAATGCAGGAGAGCACCTTCCATTTTCCAATTGCCATCTTTCGGAAAGATATCCTGTCCTAATAGTGGCATTACACTAATATAGATTTAGCACGGATACTGTAATTTGGTAAATATATTGTAATTTGTAATTATATTCTAATTGGAGTAGTAAAATTTACTAGCCAGGCACATGGTACCTTATAAGACTCATTGTTTACAGATGAATGTACTCTTGAGCATTTTGTTTTGTTTTCACATCAGCGTTGCTCCATAATTTTGGGAGGAAAAGCAAAATAAGCAAACCTTAAACTAACATGGACTGCAAGAACAGCTCTTCCTGGGGACCTTAAGGTTAGAAACCTCTACTTTAGAGGGTGGGGGGATTTGGAAGTTCAATGATGATGCTAATTGTGCTGTTGAGTCACAATCTGGAAAAGATTTCTGTTTAAGAACCAGACACCTTCTAAGATCCCGGAAAGGGGAAAAATCTCATGGGTTCAAGTTTGCAATGGAATAGGGCCGGAGTGTGGGAATTCCCGTGTGAAGTGGGATCCTTGCAGAGAAAGACTGGAAGTCTTGATCACACACCAAGCGGATGAAATGCAGCTGTGCCTGTGCGATCATTTTTCAGCCGCTGTCGGTCAGCTTTCTGCTTCCACCCCTGCCCTGAGACCTAATGGATCTTTTGGCTAGCCATGAAAAGCACGCTATATCCTCCCCAGGCAGGGAGTGAGAAAAGGACCTGCACACGGACCGGCAGAAGATGATGGCAAAGATTCTCCGCTGAGCAAAGTTCAAAACAGACAGAAGTTAAACTTGAAATTTAACCCGGAGAGCTCTCTGTTATCACAACAGTCCAAGGCCGGGACAATGTTCCGAGTCACTGGGTTGAGAAAAAGCAACCTTTATTATTA